CAGGAATTCTAACAGTTTGTTGTCCTGTATCCTTCTCATTGTTCAACCATGTCATGATCCTTGAAAGAGGCTGCAAGGGCACAAGATAGGGAGACCATTGCACTAGGGGCTGAGGGACAGGAATAGCTTGTGGAACCTCTCAGACTACCAGGGCCTATAGGGACAGAACTCACGACCCTCACAGGCACAGTCTCCCGAGTCTCAAGAATCAGATGGCGCCCACTGCACAGTCCAGAGAAGCAGGTAATGCACCAGGAAGAAGACTGTGGAATGGAGGTGAAGTTCCTGTCCTCAGGACAGAGGGTTTGGTCCTTTAAGGCTCCAGAGTTCTCTACTTGGTGGTGGAAGCAAAGTCTTCGAAGGCCTAGAGTGTGAGCGTATGAAGTGGGAGGTCCAATTTTTAGAACGCCCCCCCCCATACACAGCACTTTTGTCTTGGTCACACTTATTTCCAGGATCATAGCCTGGCTGGGCGGGGTATGCATTTGGGTGTAAACAGTAGACAGTAGAAATGAACACCCCACAACAATGTGCTCCTTTGCTCTGAAAATCTGGTCTCCAACCCACATTTTGGACATGATGATAGTAAGTCAATCTGCCCCAGTTGGGTATACTTTGCCTTTACATCAGTGCCATCAGGGGTCCATAGGCTATCATGTATTAGAATGAAGAAATTGTGTCTGAAAATAGGACAGGTGATCAGTAAACTGAAAATATTGAAATTCAGAGAGACCAAATCGGACTTGGCTAAACTGCATCAGTTCAAATCTCCAAATTTTCTGCTCTTTTCTTTGAAATCAATCCCTCAGTTCCAGCTGCAGAAATAATATAACCTCCAAGGCACAATATCTGCCAGAGACCAATACCTGTGTTTAATATGTTCAGATATTTCTTTCTAGGTATTTGTTTTAGAAACTTTATGAAGTTGATATAGTGAAAGGGCACAGCAAGCTTTGTTTTGCCTTAGTTTCTGTGGGTCTCATGTTCCCATGTATATTTATTATCTTAAAATGTGAAGTACGTGAAAGGCAGGGGGAAAACTTCTGCCAACTCAGAACAGTAGGCTTTAAATTAGATACAGTCACTATGAGTATGGTTTGCAGAAGCATTTGACAATTTTCACCTTCTAAAAAAAACGTTTTCCATTTTTCTGTTAACAAAAAATCCTTAAAACATCCTTTTCTATATTTTATCATCTTCAGATGAGAGAGCATCTATAGATTTGAAGCAATTTAATTTAGCCAATTTTAATCTGACTGTTCATCCAGATCAACGGTTCTTATTTCCTTTTATTGTTAGTGTATGGCTTGTAAAAATTGGAAGGCATTCAGCTATGTTTTATCAGTGCAGACCCACTGAAAGTAATAAGCATGGCTAAGTTAGAGTCATTAATTTCAATATTTTACTCTGAGTAAAATATTCAGCAAACCATGCTTAGGATATTTAAAGTTTCCAGGTTTAACTTCTGCCCTACTCCAGTTAAAGGAGCAGCTAGGAAGAACTTTGCCCTTGAGGCCAGTGCTAGTCAGATTAAGCTAGACTTTGCCAAACTGGTGCCCTCTAAATATTATGGATCACAACTCCTATCAGGCAGTTGCAGTTCAAACCATCTGGAGGCACTAATGTTGGCAAAGGCTAGATTACAGAACACTGCAGCACGTAGACCAGCCATAGGCAAACTCGGGCCTCCAGATGTTTTGGGACTACAACTCCCATCATCCCTAGCTAACAGGACCAGTGGTCAGGGATGATGGGAGTTGTAGTCCCAAAACATCTGGAGGCCTGAGTTTGCCTATGCCTGACCTAGACCAATAGCCTAATTCAATTCAACTGCATGCCACCCCACCCCAAAAAATGTGATTCCATATGGTAAAATGAAAAATGAAACTGGGTCTACAAATGCAAGTTTTTGTTACAGGCTTGAAAAGTTGAAGACTACTGTTCTAGAAAAGCTTGGATGTAGGCAATGGTCTGCAGTGGGGAGAGAAAGGGAAGGGGAAGATTGGGAGACACCCCAGACCAAAATCCTAGGAAGTGTAAACAATACTAAACTAGATGGATGAGAAGAAAATGTGAAAAATAGTGCAGCTTCCTATGTTCACTTTCCAGTTTATCAAGCTGTGGTGTTCCTGCACTATAAAAATGAACTTTGGGGAGATTTTTTAAAAAATACTCCCAGCTCATTGACCAAGAGAAATGGTATGCGTTTATGTGCCTTGAACACTTAGGTCTTAAGAAGAAACTTATTATGTTAATGTGTCCTGAGCAAGGCAGTGTTTTTGAAAGGGATCAATGTGACCTTGGCCATGTTGCCCAGTCTTTCCCACAGCATTAAAGCAACAGTCCATTTCATGTACTGAAGCTCTCTTTGGAGGCTCTTTGCTCTGCTGAATGGCCACAACACCCTCACTTTGACTGGGAGTGGATGGGCTGGGATCTCTGAACTTTTTTTGTAGCATTCTTACAAAGACATAGGAGAGAGAGGAGCATCAGCTCTCTGTAGTGAGGACATTAGAGCATAATCATATCTTCCACGGCTCATTGGAACTCTGGGAGTTGTAGCTCTCTAAATCTATTTTCAGAAACTATGCAAAGTACTCAGCAGGAGATTAAGATGACACATCCCAATAATCCAAGACCCCAGTCAATTAAACACACATACCGCTTGCACCATAAAAACTCTACTATGTTTGCCTGATTTGGGGGGGGGGGCAACTTAAGAAATACTAGTATTTTCTTTTACTCAAGTTTTTTCCCCTCTTAACATGAAAGTGTCTCAAAGGAACAGGTTTTACTGAAGCCTTCAGAAATGTACTTTGCTTCTATCTAGGAAGGCCAATACTGTACTCTTGTTCTGCAAATACAAAGTTGCAATTCACAAGTAGTTTTAAGGCAAGATCCCTTAAGAAGTTTCAAGGACATGAATTGTCACACGGACAATTTTCCGTTTTAAAAGGAAATAATCATAACTGTTAGATACCTTTGAAATGTCAGTATTCTTTGAAACATCAGTATTTTTTTAAGAGTGTTTGAACCATAACACCTATCTAAAAGAGCAACACAAATATAGTCAGTTGTACTACAACTCAGCAAAATATAATGGCATCTTTACATTTTAAGATCCTGGTGCCAGGCCTAGATCTATACCTATTATCTACTCCAGATAATTACATGCTCAAACAAATGGCTTGAGGATTTCAGCTTGGAGAGCAGAAGAACCTTATTTTAAGAGGGTGTTTCATAATGGTAGATGATGGACTTCTTTTATAAAAGTCTGCTGAACTATTGCTCATTTCTTTAGTTTGCCAGCAGTTTTACATAACAGCCCAATTTTAGAAAACAACACTGCTAAAATGACAATGTAAAACATTAAGCCAATGTTATTATAGCCAAATATTCCCTGAACAAAAAGCTGATATTTCTAGTGTGGAAAAATCACAACGCAGAAAGCAAGCCAGAACAGTTTGCTTTCCAAGAGACATGTGCTTTGGAACCCGCACATACTACCTTAAGTAAAGCATACAGCATCTGAACAGCTTCAATAGGATTTTAATTATTGTGCATTCAGGAGCAATAATACTCAACGGGGGGGCGGGGGCACACTAAAGAGTTACTGCAACTACCAGTGCATGATCTTCAGAGGGATACAACAGGCTTTTATTCCCAAATATCTGCAGGGAGAAGTCAATAACTCCTCATATTACGGCTGGATGAATCATAGTAAAACCACAGAAGCAACTTTCAAAAGTTGTCCCCGTATCAACTCAGCATCATCAAGACTGCAATATTATGTACTCTAAACTCACACTCCAAACCCACCACTGTAAAACAGATCATACTTGCAGCAAGAAAACACCAACATGTGTCTCCCATGCAGTATACAGGTCCTTACACATGCCTGCCAACCTCTGGCCCTTCCCTTACAAATAAATATTCTGCATTAGTGTATTTTCTTCCACTCATGCCATTCAAAACCATTCGGCCTCCAATACTGTTTTGTTTTGCCACTTTAGAATTTCTTCAAAGTTTACTCTGAGATTTAATGCAGCTTCGGTCTGCCAAAAAGTTTGTCTGTGGGATTCTGTAAATTTATCTGGCAGTCTTTCTGGCTGACCATCTGGAGAATATTTTAGAGCAGAAAAAGAAAAAGAAAAAAAGACAGAGCAAGAGAGAGGAGGAGAGAGAGACCTGCAAGCAAGAACACCCCTGCTCTACCACTCTCCCCCCCCCTCCCGCGCGCGCGCACGAACGCACACTCACTAGGGACCTCGATTCGTTTTTGTTAATGACTCCTCTACAAAAAAAGCAAAAAAAAAAGCACCACGTTCAGCCAACACGGGGCGGGGGAGGCGGGGAGCGGGTTGAGCAATAACAGTCTACTCTTCTATATTCCAAACCAGTTCCCATCAACTCGTCGTTTGCAAGCAGATGTCAATGAAAATTCTTGTGCGCCCTACAAAACGTCAGTCCCTCGTTTCCCCGGGCAAACACACAGACACACACACACACACAGACAGACAGTATGTTTCTTTATTTAAAAAAAAAAACCTTTTAGAAGTGGAATTCAACGATTTGGGGCAGAGGACTCTTTATAAAGAGTCAGGAAGGATTCTTCCTACACATCTCACTCAAGAGAAGCTCCTTTCGGAGCCAGAGACGGATCCCCCCCCCCGCCCCCAGAATCCACGATCTGCAAGTCATCTGCGCTTTTTGCAGAAAGGAGCACATCTGGAGTCAAGATTCCCCATCGCAGCCCCGTCCAGTCCGTTGTGGAATGCGCCTGGCGAAGGAGGAAAGTTGCGAGAGAAGGATCTGCCAGGCAGGATCAGGCGGAGGAGGGCGCCAAGTTGTTGTTTTCGCTGCCCCTTACTCAGTTCGCCACAAATATTGCAATCACATGACAAGAAGAGTGAGTCTCTCCGTCTCACCCCCCACACTTTCCCCGTCCTAATAACCGCCGCCTCCGGCACCGGCGGCAGCAGCCGCTTCCCCTCGCTTACCTGCAGTCTCTCGCTTGCCGGCTGCCACATATTTCTCCCGCTGGGACCTGGCGGGACACTGTTGCTAACGAGCTGGCTGTTGCGGAGAGGCTGCGGGGCTCTGGCCAGGCTCGCTCACATCTGCTCGGCGTGTGTCAGCTTGGGGCGAGCCGCCAGCGGGCGACGGGGGCGAAGGGCAAGCGCCGCCCAGGCGAGAGGCGAGGGAGCCGGGGAGGGAGAGCGCTCCGGAGCCCCGGGAGCCCCGGCTACGAACTTGGGTCGCGACCAAGATGTCGAGCTTTGGCGCCGGCTTCCTCAGCCAGGCGAGCTCCGCCGTCCTATTGCGCTAGTCGCCGCCGGAGGCCCCTCAGCGCAGCAGAGGCGACGTGGGGAGGGGGGCGACCAGGCTCTCCAGGCCCCGCCCCGCCGCCCGCCTCCTCGCTCCGCCAGCGCCGCCCACCCTTCGCTCGGGAGCCCGGCCGCGCTTGGGCGCTGCTGACTGGATTTGCCCGTCGCCTGCAAGAGGCGGCGGCTTCTGCGCGCGGCGTGTGACGCGCGAGTTGCTTTGGCGCGCGACGGCCGGTTGATTTGCCCACAGGCGCGCAGGGACCAAAAGCGGGTTGAGGGGAGGGAGGCGTTCATTTGTTGTTTAGTCGTGTCCGACTCTTCGTGACCCCATGGACCAGAGCACGCCAGGCACTCCTGTCTTCCACTGCCTCCCGCAGTTTGCTCAGACTCATGTTTGTAGCTTCGAGAACACTGTCCAACAATCTCGTCCTCTGTCGTCCCCTTCTCCTTGTGCCCTCCATCTTTCCCAACAACAGGGTCTTTTCCAGGGAGTCTTCTCTTCTCATGAGGTGGCCAAAGTACTGGAGCCTCAGCTTCACCATCTGTCCTTCCAGTGAGCACTCAGGGCTGATTTCCTTAAGAATGGATAGGTTTGATCTTCTTGCAATCCATGGGACTCTCAAGAGTCTCCTCCAGCACCATAATTCAAAAGCATCCATTCTTCGGCGATCAGCCTTCTTTATGGTCCAGCTCTCACTTCCATACATCACTACTGGGAAAACCATGGCTTTAACTATACGGACCTTTGTTGGCAAGGTGATGTCTCTGCTTTTTAAGATGCTGTCTAGATTTGCCATCGCTTTCCTCCCAAGAAGCAGGCGTCTTTTAATTTCGTGGCTGCTGTCACCATCTGAAGTGATCATGGAGCCCAAGAAAGTAAAATCTCTCACTGCCTCCATTTCTTCCCCTTCTATTTGCCAGGAGGTGATGGGACCAGTGGGCATGATCTTCGTTTTTTTTAATGTTGAGCTTCAGACCATATTTTGCGCTCTCCTCTTTCACCCTCAATAAAAGGTTCTTTAATTCCTCCTCACTTTCTGCCATCAAGATTGTGTCATCTGCATATCTGAGGTTGTTGATATTTCTTCCGGCAATCTTAATTCCGGCTAGGGATTCATCCAGCCCAGCCTTTCGCATGATGAATTCTGCAAATAAGTTAAATAAGCAGGGAGACAATATACAGCCTTGTCGTACTCCTTTCCCAATTTTGAACCAATCATTTGTTCCATATCCAATCAGTTGTTCCATATTAGGGTCCTCAATAGGCAAAGGCCACGCGTGTCTGGTAGCAGAGAGACATCTCTTTTTTTGCACGCTGATGGCACCAGAGCCCGACGCAGGCGGAGCGGTGGCTTCTCGGTCTCGCCTCTGGGTTGCAGCCACGGTTACGCTCCTTTCGTCTTGTAATTTTGGCTTTTCTGGTTGGGGGGGGAGTAAGGAGGTGCGACCTGGTGCAACACTTGGGTGCATAAAGGAGGGCTCCAACGATGGATCCTGTCTGTACTGGGGGTTCCACTTTAAAGACAAACCCCAACTTTCTACCCTGAGCATGATGGACCTCCTTTCCAGGTTGTTAAAATGTTCCGAGATAATAATTCACAGAACGTGCTCAAGACTGCATTTGCCCTGGAATATCATGGGCCTCAGCTACCAATGATAAAAGCAGGCCAAACGATAGCTTATCAAGATGATGCAAACATGAGGCTATCCAGAGGGTTGCATGGAGCCGCCTTGCTGCTTCCTGGGCTTTTACTGCAGCACCACCTTGACCTAAGCCAAGGTCTGGTCTAATCTGTCATCAGAACTGGGACTTGCAGTTAAGCTCTCTCTGCAAAGCAATTACAGTAGTACCTCGGGTTAAGTACTTAATTTGTTCTGGAGGTCCGTTCTTAACCTGAAACTGTTCTTAACCTGAAGCACCAGTTTAGCTAATGGGGCCTCCTGCTGCTGCCGCGCCGCCGGAGCACAATTTCTGTTCTCATCCTGAAGCAAAGTTCTTAACTCGAGGTACTATTTCTGGGTTAGCAGAGTCTGTAACCTGAAGCATCTGTAACCTGAAGCGTATGTAACCCGAGGTACCACTGTACAATACTCTATTCCGAACTTAAAAATGGAAAACGTAATGCTGGTGGTCAACAAAAGAGGTTTAAAGACTGTCTCAAGGCAAATTTTAAAAAATGTAGTACAAACACCAACAACTGGGAAATGCTGGCCTGCGAGCACCCCAGCTGGAGAATAGCCTTCACCAAAAGTGTCATGGGCTTTGAAGACACTCGATCTCAGGATGCAAGGGGGAAACGTGCTAAGAGGAAGGCACATTTCACTAACCCTAACCATGATCAACTGCCGCCTGGAAACCAATGTCCCCACTGTGGAAGGACGTGTGAATCCAGAATTGGCCTCCACAGTCACTTACGGACTCATTGTTAAAACTGTGTTTATGGATGACAATCTTACTCGGCTTTGAGTGATTGCCAAAGAAGAGAATGCAGTTAAGTATTGGAACTTGACCCTACAGGATAAGTGAAAGGCACCGGCTGAGGGATGTAGGGGACAGGATTCTTCTCAACCTTTAATAGTATGTGAGCGAAGGATATTTGGTTGGCAACAACTCACCTCTCTTATCCCAACTTTTCAAATCCAGATCCTTTATATTTCTGAGCATGTCCAAACATTCCCACTATTTTTTATTATTATTATTATCTCACACTGTGGCGTTGAGAATTGTATAAAGTTCCTTTATTTTTCCTCTCTCCACAGTACAGTAAGCCTGCCAGTTATGTGGGGGTTTAATTCCAGGCACCCTGCCTAAAGCCAGAATTGTGTATAATCAAAACACATTGGGTTCAATGGCGGGTCGGATTCCTCAAGTCATTTTTTTCAAGAACCCTGCCCCCCATTTTTTAAATAAAAAAAGCCATGCATGTAAAGTTGAATGTGCACAAGTTAAATGCACATAAATTGCAGGTTGTACAGGATGAGTCTTTTAAAAGAGGCCCTGTGGAACATGTGTACTCTATATCCAAGGGGCCTCTTTTAAAGGACTCGCCCTGTATATTGCGGAGGGATTCCAAATCACTCACTTCTTGGTTCAGTTACTGCCAGCCCAAGTGTCCTGAACCTCTGGCCTACCTGGCAACAAGTCAGTATGTCATGTCCCCAGTCCAGGGTCTATCCCCATGCCCAAAGTCCTAACCGAAGCACAGTCCCGCAGAGATCCTGCAGCATCCAAACTGAGGTCCCTCAACATGGGCAGTTGAGCAGACACAGCACCTCACCTCTGCTGCCCTTTTGTACTTTGCATTCTGATTGCAACATCTGGGCTTGATGATGGGTGTGACCCTCACCTGTTCCAAGCCTACTCCAGCCAAGGAGTCGCACACCTCTTCCCAAAGCTAGCAAGCCCCACCTGGTCAGCTAGGGAGCTGGGCTGTGGGCCCTTGCCTGCCTCAGCTTCCTGGAGCACCCCTCCCGCTGCTCCACATGCCTCAGAGCCTGCCATGTTCACGCAGACACGACTCTGGCTCTGGTGATGGTCTGGTTCCTGTGCACTGACCCCCATTCCTTTGTCATCTTCCATCACCCCGTACTTTCTACACCAACCTCTCCTTGCCCATCCTCAGCTTGCCCCAGTGTGTCCCAGTCCCAGCTACAACCCTCACCAGGCTCCTCTTCCTTCTCCCCATTGTCCAGCCAGTTCATGACACCAAGCGTCTAGAAAAGTGTGGGGTGGAGACAAGTAATACTCTGCTTTGAGATATCACCATCCTCTTCACTTTAACACCAATATTTGGAGTTGTATTCAACTGAATTGCATTCATAGTAGGCCTATTAAAATGAATGGATCTAAGTAATGTCTATTAGTTTCAGCATATTTACTCAGAGTATGCTTCAGTTGGACACAACCCTTCATTTCTGATTTGCTGGCACATGTTAAAGTGGGTATAACATATACCCAGATATATGTTGAGATCATTTGACTGATTTGATTTGATTTATTGTATTTATATGCCAATTTTCATTCAAATGAATCTCAAAAGTGGCTTACAGAGAATAAATAGTAATAACATAATGAAACAATCACAAATACAGTGTAAGTCATAAAATAATTAACAAATAATAAAAGAATTGCGATCTATAAAACACGATTAACAAAACAGCATCTAAAAAATAAAGATCACCATTATGACAAAAGTCATATGATTGACAAGTCAATACAGTGTGTAGAGATCATGTCTGGTTTACTCGTCAGTTTTTATTTTGAGAGTTGCTGTGTCCTTTCCTCTTTTAAAACAAGGGACCCCCTTCGGGCAGTTAAAATCCACTCAAAAATGTATTTTGAATTCCACTTTGCAGATTGCAGGTTTTTCCCCTTACATCTTATTTTCCTTAGGGAAGCTGCTGTACACAGGCATAAGAGCATCTATATATACAAGTACACATTTAAAAATCATGCCCCTGGATTCAACAAGATTTACGTGCAAAAATAGCAATATGCATCAATTACATCTGGCCTTCCTCTTTATTTCAGAAACTTTATGGACAGAAGAACAAAGGCAGAGAGAAAACTAGGACCTTTCTGATAGCCATCTGCAGCAAAAACTCCCATCTCTCTCCTTCATTATGCAATCTGCACTAGTAGGTGAGAGTAACAGAGACATCTGCTGGTAAGCGATGCAGCAATTTCCCTTATTTGGCAGGACTTAGTTCAGGGCCCAAAATTCATTGTTTCCCCCCTAGACCACACTTCAGACCACACATGGAAATAAGCAGCAATCTGGCACAGGAAACCTCGTCTGGTGTTGATTGTGGCAACTGTTCTCTTAATTATTAAGTCTCTTCATATTTATTTTTTGAGGGGGGCAGTGGGGAGGCCAAGTTCAGCTTTTAGGTTTTAATACAGTGAAAAGAACAAGACCTTTTGCTTAATGCCAAAATTGCTTTGTTTGGTTCGCAATGAATTGACAAAATTGTAAAACTTCTATTATACATTAAACTTAAGACATGTTGTGACAAATTAGTTTTTTTTATCATTGTTGTTAATAACTGCAGCAACATCTGCAACAACAACGAAATTAAACCATTTCTGATCT